TCCTGGAATTTGCGTAGGGTGGTTAACGCTTCCTCGAATTGCAAATGAGTCTTGTTGAGCTCATGCTCTAAAACTGGACCAGCTTTACTGAACAGCTTATTTGATCTTCTGATACGAAAAAATTTTGTGGCCACTAAGACTGACATTGAGGGCATGTTTACGCAAAAAGGCAAAAAATTGATTAATCAAAATGAGCCTCGCTTTCTTTGAGCCACAAAAACTAGCATGAGGCGATACCATTACCCTCTATTTATCTTATGTCAAACACTCAACACCTTGATTACGCTTCATCAAAAAACTGCCCATTAGTGCATAACCAAGACCAATTCTACTCATTTAATGCATGAAAAGTTTTACATTGACAATTTTGTTCATCAGTAGAACAATAGAAAGTAAAAGCTCTAGTAGACCAGTAAAATCTTTTCAAAGACAAGCGTGACGTCAACTACTCCATAGATGGCGCTAAAAACTCTGATGATGTCACAGTGTGTCCAGTCCTAGGCGTCAAAAATGATATTCGATTTGATGCGAAATTTGTCAAAACAACAATCAGGCAAATACTTTCAAAACGACTAAGTTCCAAAAAGTCATCTCTACGGCAACAACGGTTTTCGATCCCTAAAAAATCCTTACTTGTTATAAGACTCAAAAATCTTCTGCAAAACCCGTGGCAGTTTTATATTTTCTGGGATGAATCCGTGGCCAATGACTACGTTTCAAAAATCGAAAATGGGCCGAGCAACCGAAACCATGCCAGCCTCTGACACTTCCGCGCCAACTTAGACAAAAACTGTCACCTGGTGACACAATACAGCTTCTTGTAACTGCGACGCAACGCAACGTGTATAAGCTTCCAGATTGCAGGCGACTCTGGCAAACACTCTTCACTGAACCAATTGCTTTTCAAGACTGGAATTATATGCTGCTCTTATGATCACACGCCCGAGCAAACTCGCTACTGATTGACTCCCGCAAGTTTGCCGATGGAACCCAAATCTGCTCACTATTGGAAGCTTTACTTTTCATCGACACTTTGAAACTTTTTGGAAGATATGGAATAGGAAAAATTTCTTCTCCGTCGTCAATCCCAATCAAAAACTTGACGCAAGAAAACAAACTGTTAGCTTGGTCATCATGAAAGCGCATGGACGCTGTATGCATCATAGCACTGAGTACTGATGCTATGGAAAAAAATACAATTGCCTATTCACCCAATTTGCTGCACCTGCTTTTTACTAAGAAACCCCGTACAATTTTACCAGAGACAACTGCATGACTGCAAAATGATGCTTCAGTGCCCGCAGACGCACCACAAAGGTGGTAACTTCCAAGTGCAATAGCGATAAATTTTGTCGGAGCCGTAACCAACTACGCTCTGAAGCATTCTACTTCATAGCAACCGTGCTAAATGAACAGCAACCATTAGACAACCTCGAGTAGCACCTTAATTCGCCTTCTGACTTCGTTTTCTTTGCATATGGGACCGACTTTTTCAATAATAAAATGAGTTTTTTTTTCTAAACTTCGGTTCCGATTGACTGCCTAGCATCTTTTCGCTACCCTTGGTTCCGAATCAGAGGCAGTACTCAATTCGCGTCCCTTCCACTGATGCTTAACTTTCTGTTGGCAAGTCTTATTGTCTACTCCATTGCCAAAGGCGTCATTTATTCACCTAAAGGCAAAATGAAATGAAACATTGCTGTATTCTTCATAAGGAAACCTATTTTTTTTAAACCAATTGTTCAAAACATGAATTTGACTTGTGAACCAAACAAACAATTTGAACTTTAGATCAGCAGGGTCTTGAATATCCAATAATTCTGAGGTTTGTCTAACCTATTTTCAAAGATTTTCAAATCAATGAGCCTCTTGCTACCAGTTTTTCTGGACTGATTCAAAAAACGTCGAAACGAAGAATTTAGCTTTCGAAGAATAAAAATTCCAACCGAGACTCAAAAAACTTCAAGCTGTTTTTTTTGGTCATAAAAGTGAAACTGGTCTGTTTCAGTTCTCCATCAGTTCTGGATGTCAAACTTGCAAAATTTCTGCAATATATTGGAGCGAATTAATTACATCTCTCACCAAAAAACCGTGCCGTTTTCTCAAAAAAAAAACTCTGACATCATCTCTGATTTACAGCAAACAGAGGTGCGCGGATATAAGCCTTTGTTGATAATCAACCCAGGTTGATCTCCGTGTATAAACAATTTTTATCGTAACGTTTCGTGCGAAGCAAGAACAATTTGGTTTTTAACATAAAATTGTTTTGTTTGAAAGAGTTTGAAAAGTCGAGGAGTGTTCTATTTTTTTAAGTTGCAACATATCTGGTGTACGCAAACCACAAATTTTTTAATTACCAAAAAAAGAAAACAAAAAACATGGTTTGTTAGCTCATAGCGTAATGCAGATTGAGTTTTCAATACAAAAAAAATCAAAAAATGTTAACACGTTTTTCAATAATCTGAACCTATAATATTTTCCAAAATAGTTTTGTATGTTTGAATTAACCTAAATCTGGCAACACAAACATATCTCAATTTTCAGTTATTCTATAAATTTTTATTAAAAGGAAAATTAATCAACAAAGCTCCGAACGTAATCGGAATCTTCAGGGCTTCGCCCTTATACGAGCAGGTTTGTAACATGGCTTATCTCCAAATGCAGTTTATCTGTCAAATGTTTGCCACTTAATTAATCGGTATCTCAATTGAGAATATTGTTTGTCATTGTGATTTTGATCAAAAATCAGAAAAACAAAAATCAAAAAGGTATTGTTTGGTTATGAAGAAAACGCTAGTCATACAATTTAATACACGAGAAAGTGCTTTTCATTGAAACTTCATCTAACTTTAAAAACGTATGGAGTTTTATGAAATGATATAACAAAAAGACTTTCTTCAAAGTAAAGTGTAATATAACAATTCTTGTTGAGGCCAGTTTTTTTGCAGCAACATTATGGAAATAATAGTTTCCGGATCAAACTTGATATCTGGTTTTTTAAGCAACACAATAATCTAAAGATTTCGTTCCATGTCTTCACACCCAAACTGTAACTGTTTTATCTCCGTAGAACTAACCACCCTATTTCATTATCCGTGTTTATTGTGTCTTACGGTTGAAAATATTTTTGATTAAAAAATTCTTGTGTTTGAATAAGATATTCATGTTTTTTTTGTATGGTGAAAAGGTCTAAAAACAATTTTGAAAAAGTTTCAATCATTTTTTTCTAAATAGGGCAATTCTCTCACCAGAAGGTCATAGGTATAAAGTCAAAAATTATATGTTTTTCTTTGAGAAAAGATGTTTGAACTAAAGCTCGAATGGTTCACGTTTTTAATCGTTATGATGGATTAGTGATTCGACTTTGATTTGTCATTTGCGTCGACCTCTAAATGGAACAACAAATCTAGTCATTCAATTTTTCATTTTAAACACAATCTGCTTTTACTAAAAACAGATCATCTTAAGTTAACAAGTTGATGAATAGTAAAACATTTTGATGTGTTGAATACAAACTGTTAAATAGCATCTTTTTTTTGAACTAACTGCTGCAAAGAACTTTTTAAAGAAAGTTTGGCTCTTTCTCGCCCTAAGAAATTTGTAGTGGGATTTGTACCACCAATCTTCCTTCTCCAGTACAGGCGTGTGAGCCGGTATGGCACAAAACCTCAATATACAAAATAGTCGTAACAACATCAGGTAAGCTTTCTCGTGTAATAACCTCAATTTACATTTTACAATAACTTGTTTTCATTATTGTGTGTGCAGGGGCGGGGGTCTAGGATTTTCTCGAGGGGGGCGGATTTTCAAAAAATTTTTTGAAAGTTTCGTCGACCTTTTTTTTTAGGTTGACCGAATTGATTTTTGAGCTCTCCCTAAGCATGGTTTAGTCCCTTTTTTGGCAACACTTTCTGCGCCGCATGCAAAAATTTGAAAAACAGTCCAAAAAAGGCGTTTTTAGGACTTTTTTGGAAAATTTTAACCAAAAAATTTTTATGCATAATAATTGTTTGATATTAGTTTTTCATCCAGAAATCTTCGATTTGAGTGAAAGTTTGTTCCGAAAATTTATTAAACAGTTTTAAATTTGCATGAAATGTATAAGCAGCTTTTCATTCACTCAATATTTAAAACTGTAGGATAATCAGTTTAAATTTTCTAAGAGTTTACAATGGGAAGAAAATGAAAATGCATTAGTTGTGATCAGTGGCTCCGTAAAAATAAACATTCTGGATGAAAAACTAATATCAGACAATTATTATGCATAAAAAATTGCAATCGAAAAATTGATTTAATTTTTGATTTTTGTTTCTCAAAAACTAAAATGATTGATTTTGAACCTATCAAATTGCAGTATTTTTTGCGGCAACCAAAATAGTTGCAATAATCAGACTTGACTATAATCCAAATATAAGCCAAAATTTTACCGAACTAACGCCATCAAAGAATTCAAAAACTATATCACCAATGGAACCAACTATTTCCGAAAAGTCATTTGCAGAAAAAAGCTTTGCAAAAAAAGCGGAGCTAGTTTCAAAAGTGATTTGATTTGTACAATTTTGCAATGATTTCATATAATTTGGGAAAAAAAAACTATTGCAGTAATCAATTTTCAACTTAAGATAATTGCAATAATTAATTGCAGCCAGAAAAACTACACAGTAACTGATTTTCTGTTGCAATATAACTGCAGTTAATTTTATGAAACCACTGGTTGAGATCGCTAATTTTAAATTTATCCAGAAATTGTTCATGTTTGATACTGAATGGCTAGAAAAGAAATAGAGAGTTTGTACAGAAAACCGAAAAAGTTTTATACAACCATATAAAATTTCTATTTATTGTACAAAATGATTTAGGTAGGATTGTGGTACATAGGAATTCTTCAAACTATACAAATAAATCTAATTTTGCTGATTGCTTGACGTCATTTGAGTTATCAGTTTCTGTTTCTACAAAACGTTATACCTCCTCAGTAAACGTTTTACAGTTTCGTATACTTTTTGTTCGATTTGTTTCCTGTCTGGTTTCACTTTCGTAGCCACCAAGTCTATGACAGATTGCGGTAGTTTTGTCGGCTCTCTGCAGTACATCAGCAAAATGTCTCGGGCATTTTCAAGCTCTCGCAGCCTTTGTTTATGTTTTGAGTCGAATTTTTCAAGAGATTCATCGCGATAATAAAAAGCTCTGAAATTCGAAGTTTTTAACTCAAATAATTTAATTCTGAAGCATTTCCTTACTACATTTTCATCAAGATTTGTGATGTTTTCGACAAATAGCGGAATTTCTAGCAAGCACCAAGCGTCAACTATAATTTCTGCCTTCGTTTCATCGATCGTCTTTTTTTCTTCGTGAAAATGCGGCAGACGAAAGCAAGTGAAACCCAAGTAAATTGAGACGCACAAAGCATGCAAAAGAGATTGATTCAAAAATAAACCAACAATTCCCAATGTAATAATTTGATTCGAGCTTGGAACAGGAATTGTCTGAAAACGGTTAAGTATTGTTTGCAGACGGTTCGGGCTATTTCGGGAAAATCTTTTAAAAAGTTCCAGAATAGGGGAGAATCTTGTTAGATGAACTCGCTTGGAGGCTAACCTGCCTCGGATGTCAATCGGTGGCTCACGTCTCTTCTCCTCGGTCGGTTGGGGGAGTGATAACGATGTTATGTAGACGTTATCTGTGATAGCAAAAATGACACATGCGAGTCTAACAGTGCCTATGAAGGGTCTGTCCAAACTAGCCAGAAACTCAAATATGCTCATTTTAAACAGCTTGGTTTTTAAATTGTTCGCGTAAGATGATGTTTCGATCAGAAATAACTCATTTTGTTTCGTTTGTGTCAGTTTTTCAGGTTTTTTGGGTCGAAGATATGTTAGCACGAAGGAGCTATGGGGATATTTAAGTAGATTTCTCCACGCGGTAATTTTATCATCAGGAAAGTAGTCCCATGGCAAGTCGACAATGATGTGATTTTCTTTTTCTTGTACGTGATGTTTCTCAGAGCACTTTGGATGGAACAAGGCTTGCGTAACTAGTGGATCATTCAAGCAAGTGACGCAAAAGAATACCGGCTGAGGTTTTTCATCCAGCGGTTCAGCGATTCGTTCACACAACGAAAAGCCACATGTGCAAAAAGCTTCAGCATAATTTTTTGTGTGTGTTTTGTCGATAAGAACTTCTGAAAAGCGAGATACTTTTTCAAAGGCAGACAAAACGCTTTTTTGCGACTTCCATTTTTTAGAAAATTTCGGTGGCTCGACAGAAGATGGGCAAAAAGAAGGCTCTTTAGCAGATTCTACAAAAGAGGGTTTCGTAGAAGACTCTTCAAAGGAAGTATCTTTGGATTCTACAAAAGAAGGATCTGTTTCCATTTTGTCCAAATAATGCATTTCGAACTCAAGCCTAGGAAATGGAATCAATTTCATACCCTCCATTTTGGACTGTGACGGCCAAGTGTTCTCATTAAGACAAGGAAGATAAGTCGAAAACATAATGCTGATAATGTTTTTGCTTTGAATGTTTAGGTCACTGCGTTTATCAAGTAAACTTATCAAATTGAGCTGTAAAAAACGTAATTGCAATTTTGAGCGGTAGTCGCCACATAGAAGTATTTGGTGCACCTGATTGATTTCAGCAATTCGTAAGAGATCTGAAGTGATTTGTTTTCGCTTATAAAAATTGCAATTGATTCGAAAACCTGGTTGGACTATCACTAAAGTGTCTTTTTTCTCGTTATTCACTTCGCGAGACGATAAAAATGTTTCAAATTCCCAATGAAAAGTTTGTGGTATTATCAAGGTAATTTCATGAAAAATTTTGCGCTCATTTAAATAATCCAATGGTCTTTTCTTCTTCCTTTCTAAGTCTGTGCGGGCAAATGATTTAATAGACATCAGGGCTGTTTGAATTAGTTTTGAATCAGGCAAATAGGATTTATCAAGGTCATCAACATCCACTAGCAAGGACAAAACAAAATCTATAAGTTCCGAAAAGAATTCGTTAAGAACAGATCGCGTCTTTCGAATACGATTTATTAAATCTATCGTTAAATGAACTACCCTCAGACCTCGTCTCTTGTTTTCATCTGTATGATGTTTTGCGGAATTTAATTCAAAATTAGTCCTTTCTTCTTCAAATGTCATTTTATTTTGTTCGTAATGCCCAGTAGAAATATGTTGGGAAAGCAACGAATCGATTAGTTCTCTGTTTTCTGCATTTGCAGCGAGAATTTTCAGCCTCAATTTCTCCATTTTTATAATCATTTCTCTCCAATCCTGGTCGAACCACGCATCAAATTTTGCAGCATTACTCTTCTCGTAACTCGAGAAATGATCATTCAAATTTAAAATCAATTCACAAGTTTTTACAAACTCTTCGACTAAATTTGTAGAAAAAATCTCGATGATTCTCGAGATATCTTCAGATGTTCCTTCCTGAAATAATAATTGAGGCCTTTAATCTCTACTACATAGTATTTTATTGACACTTTCTCAAATATTAAGTTGAATATTTTGTTGACTGCAATTGATGAATCTATTTGTTGTCTGTAAAGCTGCTATAAAAAATTCAACTTACAAAAGAGTGAGCTTTTGTTCGCACATTGCGCAAAAATTTAATTTTCTCGAAAAAAAATTGTTTATTGATTTTATTGTTGCACCGAATTTAATGCACTGAGTGATCACCAAAATGGTATTGTCTGAAAACAAATCCTTCTTGCACTATTTGGGAAGCCATTAGAAAGCTTGTTTTGATGTTTAATGGAAATTTAATTCGTTGATGATGAAAAAGACGCAGTGTTGGGTTTCTAATTTCCAAAAATGTAAAAAAGATGGAACAAGTGATTGTTTTTTTATTATGAGTTTTGAAAATTATGAATTAGTTTTGCACTGTCAAAAAAATCTGTTCAAACAAATTCTAGACAAAGTGAGTTTAGATATGGGGGTCTATCTCATAGAGTCATTTCGCATAGGGTACACCGTCTGCTCGTCACGCTATCTTATTTTCGGCCGGATAGATTCGTGCAACTTCTTAGTCTAATACCGATCCTAATCTTACTCTTATAACTACTAGTCTCAGGGTGTTTAACTAGTCTCTGCTAGGCTCAATAGATCTAGAGTATACTGGTATCGTTGCGGCTGCTGAAGTGCTCGGGAGAGGCAACTATTTTCTAAGTTAAATTCAAATCTCTCTGGTGCTGAAATTACAAGTAATTTCAGCACTTAAAAATAAGTGGGTAGTTAGTTAGATGGATTGTGATTGGTTAATATCAAATACTTTACAGTGGTAAAATGTCTAAATCATAAATAATAAAATGTAGTTTAGATCAGGTTCCATCCATCCGGGTTTTACAGAGTTTTTGAGTTCTATCTCTTTTCTTCTGCAATTGAAGGATGGATGATGAACGTTGGTATGTGGCGAACATCATTTTCGTTTTCTTTTTCCCTGGAGAAGAGAGTTCCAGGAGACTAGAACTGTCGACATAATTTTTCTTTAAGAGAAAAGTTCCAGAACGCTGGAATTAGGGATAGGAAGTTATCTTCTTGTCGTTTGTCAACGAACGTGATCCTTAATGAAATCGTTTAGATTTCAGAATCCAAAATGCTTTGTTATGTCAGTTTTGTTTGCATTTGTGGAAAGTTGTTTGTGATCAACCTCGTCTAGGAATGGCGTGAAGCTCGTGTTTGGAAGGGATGCCTTGTTACTCGGATCTGTACGTATACTTGAACATCGAGATGGTCATTGGTCTGATTCAATGAAGTCCTTTGCTGCGAAGTCAAGTCGTTCTCTAAATCCTTTGAGTTGTGATTGTGTGCGGCATGTCGGTTGTAGTTGTTAGCCATTCTTTGTTCAGGTTGTGATGGGATCATATAGTCTTTGGATGTTCGTCTTTGCTGTAGTGTGTGATCTATATATTGAATATTATGATTTACATTTTATAGATTTTAGTTAATTGTTTTTTAGTTATGATCTTGTTTAATTGTTTTCACAAAAGCGCTTTATTTTAGTTCAGTTATTTTGAAGAGTTACTCACCCTTGAGTACCTCTTATTAAAAATAAAGTGTGGTCACAAAGCGTGGATGTAGCGCGGTGGGTTAGGCCGGCTATAGAGCATGCTCAGGACGTCCTTTCTGGTGGGTTAGGCCAGGAGTGGGAGTATGATTTTGTGCGGTTTCTTTGAGGGGTCCTGTTTTGTGTTAACATTATATGGTAGCTTTTTCTGGGCTTTCTTATGTTGCTTATGGTTGTGTCCTTTTTTCAAAAATCAAAATGTTTTTGATTTCGGTTTGTCTTTCGACTTTTTTGTGTTTTATTATTTCTTTCGTTGACTTTATAATAGTCTTCAAAAGAATAAACTATCCAGTTTTAAGCTGGGTTAATCCGGTTTGGGCACCGTTGGTGTTGTTTTCTTACGCATGCTGTTATTTTATATTTTGTGGTGTTTAGTCATTTGCATTGGTTAGTTTAGTATAGTGTATAATTCCATTCCAACCGGGTTAAAAAAAGTTGGAAACTTGTTATCGTTAGTGAGAGTTGTTGTTATTGAAATTTGAAACATAAAATCACTATTTTAAACAATTCTTCCTGGGCGAGCTGTGCGAGTATGGATAGAAGTCTTGTGCGAATGAATGAAAAGGTTAGTACTGCTTTCTCAACTTATAAATTGACTGCTAAAATCTGAATTTTTACTACATTTTGGGAAATTTGAAATTATATATTTTCATTGTATGTAATTTTACTGCTTTTGGGGGGAAGAATTTATAAATTAATTTATTACATTTGTATGAATTTTATGACATTATATATTGCAAAAGTTTTAGTATATTGAAATTGTTTTAGCAAATAAGTTTTAAATGATTTGTAGTTTTAAATTATTGAGTTTATATTTTTGTTTGTCTTTTTTCGTTTTGTGGATGATGGTGGTGTGAGAAGACTAGAAAAATGAAGTGTAACATTATGAAAAATGGTTAGTTAATCCAATATTTATTAGTGATTACAAACGAAATATTCTTACTTTAATTTTCGGGGAAGAAGCCATGCGGGAAGAGGTCTTGGATTAGGTCAGATGATGTTAATATTTTAGTTAATATGCGAATTATGTTTTTAGTTTCTAGCAGTGGCCAAAGCAATTGAAGTGCTTTGATGATGTTTAGTTCTTCGGTGCTACTGCGAATTCATGAGGTGTGTTCTGGATTAGATTGTAAAGTTTATGATTATATTTAGTGTTATGGATGAATTCTAGAATGGGAATTTCAATGGGTTGTAAGAATTCATGCGGGAAAAGGAAGGGTCTGGATTCTTCGTCCTGGAAAGTCTTTGTGATGGGGCAAAATATATACATTTGGTGGACGGGGTCGTAGTTACGGAGGATGCCGTGGAGGTTAGTATTCTTGAAACAATAGGTGAAATTAAGAAAAAATGGTGATGTGTACTTTGAGTTGCTGAATTGAAAACGATGGTGGGGTTGTCGTGAGGGTGTATGTAAGTCAAAGTGATTTTGTATAAAGCGATAATATGTGTAAGTATGTGTCTGTTTAGTGCGTAACATAATATCGTGGGAGCAGTGCAGATCTCGTTTTTGTGGTGTAAGAAAGTGGAAGGTTAGTGTGAATAAATTAAATTTATCTTGGAAACTTTGGTAGGCTTACGTGTCAATAAGGGCTTCGGAAATGATGTGATTGTGTTTTTTATCAAAAACGTTAAATGTAAATAAATATGGTGTTGTGATGAAAAATTTCTCTGTTAGTTGTGGGTTAGCAAAGCG